CCACAGCTCTGTGTCTCTATGAATGTACCATCATCATCTCTTCCATACTTTTTTTAGTACTCCAAGGGTTCCATTATAATATCTCTTTTGCTATTCTTCCTGTATTGAGCTTTTTAAAATTATTCAAAATACTGGATAGCATAACTGCATCATTCAAGTAGATTAATGTTACCATACTTGAATGATACTAGTTTATTCTCATCATTATTACCATACTTGAAAGATGCTACATTATGTTATCACTCTAATACTTTTTGGTTACTCTTATTGTTATTGCACTGTACCTTCATAGTAATCATTTTAGATACCATCAATATTATTGAGGGACTGGTATCAGGTTGGTTTGCTGATTCTGTTTAGTTTTAACATACTTTCAGTACTCTTTCTCTAGTATCTATTCAATGTACTATTTAATACTATAATATGATTTCAATACTCTCTCTTCAGTATTGACTGCTCACTTTGAAATTATGTATTTCTGAGAAATCATACCCTTCAGATACTTTCTAAATTTCTGTCAGCCCATACCATCATTCTATTATGAAAGTATGTAATATAGCCCTCAAAAAGTATGGTATAATGTTGCAATATACTAATTGAATACTCTGCCTGCAATATTGAAACACTATATAAATATTTTACTCTCATATTTTTTCCATACTAACAACATACTGATTAGATACTCTGTCTGTAATATTGAAACACTATATAAATATCTCACTTTGATATTTCCTTCATACTAACAATATACTAATTAGATACTCTGTCTGCAATATAGAAACACTATGGAAATATCTCACTCTCATACTTTTTCCATACTAACAACATACTTGTCAGTCAGTATTATTTGTCTATTCTTGATACCACCACAATACTGGCATTGAAGTATGTTACCTATCTTCAATGAGGATGTGACTAATATTGTGTTGATATGTAACATAGAAATGCAACATATTTTCATACTTTTAAAATACCTTCTTTATATTTACTCTCCAGTATGGAAGAAGTATCTTTCTTTTGCAGCATCATACTCTTCCAATATTGACATGTCAGTATATTAAAGATATTTTGTTCAAAAGTTAAGATACTGTGATGGAAGTATTCTTACAGTACATGGGCCAGTACTGAGAAAAAACCCTTGAATATAATCAAGATACTAATCAGGTACTTTAGCAACAGTAATAATAATTTTTTTCTCATACCAACCACATACCTGGTGGATGGTATTTTGGAAAAAATTTATGTACCATCAAAATACTCTTAAAATATTTTCATCTTCGTATTTTGATATGTTCGCAGTGTTATGTCATTCAACTTGGGATCCTGTCATTCTTCCCTAGGACTATTTATCATTGCTTCTCTAGGGCGATATTTTTGATATTTCATTCTTCCCCAGGGCTATATACCATTGCTTCCCAGAGTGATATTTTTGATATTTCATTCTTCCCCAGGGCTATATATTATTACTTGCCTAGGGTGATATTTTTGGTATTTCATTTTTCCCCAGGGCTATATATCATTGCTTGCCTGGGGCGATATTTTTGATATTTCATTGTTTTGCAGGGCTATATATCATTGCTTGCCTAGGGTGATATTTTTGATATTTCATTGTTCTCCAGAGCTATATTTTTGGTATTTCATTTTTCCCCAGGGCTATATATCATTGCTTGTCTAGGTTGATATTTTTTGATATTTCATTGTTTTCCAGGGCTATATATCATTGCTTGCCTAGGGCGATATTTTTGGTATTTCATTGTTCTCCAGGGGTATATTTTTGGTATTTCATTTTTCCCCAGGGCTATATATCATTGCTTGCTTAGGGCGATATTTTTGATATTTCATTGTTTTGCAGGGCTATATATCATTGCTTGCCTAGGGCGATATTTTTGGTATTTCATTTTTCCCTAGGGCAATATTTCTGGTATTTCAGGGTTGTTAGGAAAGTGGTCACATGACCAATTTCCTAAAATAGCAAAAAAATTAAAGTTGTAGCCCTGCACTCTAGCTTCTAGAATCTATTTGAATTATGTTCTGAAGTGCTCCTGTTGTGGAGATATGATGTAAAAGACTTTCAAAAGTGTCGCGTTTTTTTTTGTTTTTTGTGTTTTTCTCCATGAAAACAAAACCAAACAACATGATTTCAGTATATTTAGAAAGCTAAAAGAAAGGGCTACAATTATTTTATTGTGGGAAAAATGACCAAAAAAGGAAGGTGCATGTATTGTGTGCTTTTTCATTAGGAAAGTTTGTAGTGTCCGCTTTTTGAGACTGCAAAAGATTTGTAGTGTGCGCTTTTTCATTAAAAAAGTTTATAGTGTCTGCTTTTTGAGACTGCAAAAGATTTGTAGTGTGCGCTTTTTTATTAAAAAAGTTTATAGTGTCTGCTTTTTGAGACTGCAAAAGATTTGTAGTGTGCGCTTTTTTATTAAAAAAGTTTATAGTGTCTGCTTTTTGAGACTGCAAAAGATTTGTAGTGAGCGCTTTTTTATTAAAAAAGTTTGTAGTGTCCGCTTTTTGAGACCACAAAAGATTTGTAGTGTGTGCTTTTTCATTAGAAAAGTTTATAGTATGTGCTTTTTGAGACTACAAAAGATTTGTAGTATGCGCTTTTTCATTAAAAAAATTTGTAGTGTCCGCTTTTTGAGACTACAAAAGTTTGTAGTTGACATGTAGTTTATAGTGTCCCTGACTCTGTATAGGTTCTGGGGGATGTGGTTGAAGGATTGACATGACCTTACATATTGCCATTGCTGCAGTCCATTCCTTCTTATTGATAGCTACTGTCCTATCTCAAAACACAGTTATAGGTTCATGGAGATATGGGTTGAAGGATTGACATGACCTTACATATTCCCATGGCTGCAGCATTAGTTTTTGACATCATGCCCAAGTTGACTTTCACATCAGGACAGGCTATTTTCTGCTTTCACATTGATAGCTATTAGCCTGTCCCAAAGATAGTTATCAATATGAATACCCTCCCCTGGTCTAAAAGCCAACTAGGCATGGTATCAAAAACTAATGCTGCAGCCACGGCAATATGTAAGGTCATGTCAATCCTTCAACCCATATCTCCATGAACCTATAACTGTGTTTTGAGATAATATCAAAAATATCGCCCCAGGCAAGCAATGATATATAGCCCTGGGGAAAAATGAAATACCAAAAATATCACCCTAGGCAAGTAATAATATATAGCCCTGGGGAAGAATGAAATATCAAAAATATCGCCCTAGAGAAGCAATGATATATAGCTCTGGGGAAGAATGAAATATCAAAAATATCACTCTGGGAAGCAATGGTATATAGCCCTGGGGAAGAATGAAATATCAAAAATATCGCCCTAGAGAAGCAATGATAAATAGTCCTAGGGAAGAATGACAGGATCCCAAGTTGAATGACATAAGGTAGGCAGAATGAAATAAGACACATATCATTTCATTTGCCTAGCCATTTCATTTCATATTTTTGCTGGGCTGCAAATAAATGACTGTGCAGGCAACTGCCTAGTATTTATCATATAAGTGGTGCCCACCACTCCAGAACGCGCATAACGAACCCTCAGACGTGGATCAGTGACTCCTGTCAATGGAAGGATGACCAACCGTGCACCATGCTTGCCATGAAGGTAGTTCCAATGGAGACTGGGATCAGACAAAAGGACTGTTCTTCAGTCGAAGAAGTCGATCAAGAGAGGACGCGAAACAACTTGAGACCCAGCCTCATGCAACTACTCGGAGATGACTACCTGCCCTTAGATCCTGCAGAAGAAGGGGTAGCCGATACACCGTACTCAGTGATGCCAGCAGAAACCGTAGCCTCTGCTCCTGCTCATGTGAATGACCAAATATGCAAGCAATATGGGAAGAAAACATACCTGCCAGCGCAATTCTCAAGAGAAACACTTGCCACTACAAAGCACGATTGGTCCGCTGTGAGCCTGTGCGAGGTTACAATTCAAGTCCCTCGGTTACCCGACATAAATCTCCTTTGAATATGCCCTGACTGCCTTGAAGGAAGGAAGAAGGGAGGGCATTATGTGGTGAAAATTAAGGAATTCAAATTAGATACCATACCAGAGGCCCTCAAATATTCCCTACCGAGGATAAGAAACCAAATATGAAAGGGATCCTCAAAGACTGGAGCTCAACTTGTCCAAACAGAGAGCAGCAGTTCGAATTCAGGCTCAGAACCTACCAAAGCTTGGCTAAAACCGAGAGCTCTCCTCACGTGCAATCTGAAAGAGTATCGAAGATCTTTGACAAATACGCCTCATTTACAAGAAAGTACGAGAAGGAGGCTACACTGTCTTGCAAGAGGTATCAAAGTTTCAGGACGTGTCAAGACTGAACTCTATGGTTCGACACGAGAGCAACTGACCATCAACCTTGGATTCAGATGCAATATAATGATGAATAGTACAGACGTCACCCTTCTAATAAGAAGGGATCTCAAAACTACGTACGAACAAAGTACCACCAAACACATTATGGAGCATGACACAATGTTAATAGGATGATCCGTAGGGCGCGTGATACCTGCAGCCTGTGCCCGAAACATTCTTATAAGACTCATAATCGGAACAGCTCCCATGATATCAACTTTCATTCAAAAGGGATCAGTAACCCTTTCTAAACTAAAGAAAGTCGGCAAGAAGGAACACATGAGAATGGTTTCGAGGAACAACACCTTCAACCATTCCTGCCCCTTGCTAAAGGCATCGACCCACACAACATCTGATGATCGAGACGATGGAATAGTAAGGAAATTTGACATAACCAATGCTAGTCCTCCCCTGTGATGTGCAAGAGCAGATGAAGTTATCAGATCCCTACAGGTCATCAACATCGTGTTAGCCAACAGCTTGACTCTAAATGGCGAACATCTCAGCAGTATGGTAGCGTCCGCTGGAGCAATAAATGCAGCTATACTAGTGATAGTACAAGTTCAGGGTTTAATGACTGCGAAGATTCTGACGATGGATGCCCTGAGGCATAATCATGGTTTTGAGGGTGATCATGATGAACCTCAAGAATCAAAGTTAATGGTGTTTCTGAAGGATTTGATAAGTAGAGACAGCTACAAGATGGTACTACTTCTCGGACCCAAAGTACCTGGGGAGTATCAAGAACAAACCGAGAGATTGCACAGAAATGCTGCATCCTTCATGATCGACCGTTACATAAAGTACTTGGAAGCGCAAATCCGTACACCACTGCTCCTCAGTGCTCACCCTAGTCTCTGAACCAAAGTATAGTACCTCATCCGCGAAAAGAGAAGTTATCTCCAGACTGCTCAAGGCTTGGACCGAAACAGGAGTAATCAAATCATCCATCAGATCAAGAGGACTCCGAGATAGGCTAGAAATGAACATGGGCCAAAGAAGCAAGACTAGTCTTGCCATGTACTTCCGAAAGCTTAAAACACCATTCTTTCGCTACCATATGAGACTGCAATCACTCAGAAAATCATCATGGGGTCCCAGGAATGGATTCACATTTCCTAGGATCATACAAGGAATCTGGCCCTCTAACCTGTCTTTATTTGCACTGAGACTTCATGAGAATCGAATTGAAGTCGAAAGATGGAACAGATGGGGCACTACTTTGGATGATACTACTGTCCACGTAGAACGAGTAGGTGTTGGCCGATACAGAATTTTGGGACTAAACAGACACTATCACGACATCATAAGACACAAAGCCCTCGGCATGAAAGAGGATCTCATTCAATACGCTGCCCAACTAGACCAAGCGTGTTATGAAAACGCTAATTGTCGAGTGACAGCGTGGGGGGCTGTGTTAACTGCACATGTGTTAACCGCTCACCCAGACCTTAGAATCATACTGGTCTGGATCTCTATTGTGGATCCACTTTCATGTAACTCTCCGTTGAACAGCAAAGTCGACTACCGATCGGCAGGCTGGGGGGCAGCATTCAACGCTTACCTAGGTCATAGAAAAGAGGAAGTCATAACCAATTATGCTGCCCTAGTACAGGTGCGAGTTTGCAAGGACCCCAAGCATCAAGTGGGAGCACGGGGGGCAGATCCTGCCGTTTACCCCATTCGCACAATCGATCATGCCGCCCCAGTCTGGGCGTGAGTTTGCAAAGATCCCAAGCGTCGATTGGAGGTATGGGGGGCAGCTCCTGCTGTTTACACCATCCCCATCATTTGCCCCTATCTTGAAACTGTACAGCAAGCAGCCTCTAAGCGATGGACTGACCACATTCCCCTCAATTCCAAAATTGCACTTGGTACTGGGTGCTTAGCCATACGCAGAACGTGTTCACTATTGGATCATTATGTAATCGCAGAGAAACATGAATGGAAGAATCGACATATGGCCAGGCCATCCAATGCTAACGCAAATAGATTCATATTGTTAGAATACAATACGCCAACTAGGAACGTCATTCAAAACCTTGCGAATTCTATTGATACCCATCAGCCACGAGCCAATCCAACTACGACACTTGAACCTACATGCCATACAGCAGAAAAGCACTCTTAAAAAGGAAGTCTCAAGTATTATTGGAATCAGATGGGAGCTCGCAGCTAAAGTGAAGCGCGAAGCCCAGGAAGAGACTATAGACCTCTGGATTCACCGGATAGGAGCAAGACGTTTCAAACTACCTCTGAACGAGGATTGTGCAAGACGATCATCGCATATGTGCGAATCAGTAGACCTATTGAACCGCAAGAATTTTATAGAAGGTTATAAGGTGCCAGTGGACGAACTTGATTCCATCCCTCGATATTTTAGAGCGCAATCCCATGGGAAAACCACAGTTCTCATCATGCACTATGCACTATGTCGGTTGCATGGAACCCCATATGGGAATACATATACAGGCTCCTGCTGCTGTATAGCGCAATTACCAGAACCGTCTTCCCATGTGCTCGAACCAGAAAATAATGGTGTATTCTGCAGTAGAATGCATAAATCTCCACATGGGAGTACTCAGATAGGATCACGCCGCCTTATGGCACAACTACCGGAATTGCTTCTACGCCTGCCTAGACACAAGATTACAGGAGTTCCACCACATGTGTGTACTCCATCTCAACCTGTCCCTATAATGACAATAGCCAGGACGACTGTACTACCGGCAATCTCAAGGATATTAGAGACTGAAATCTTAGTCTGAGACATACTTGGGACCATTCTAGTACTTGGGAAATTAGTAATTTCAAGTTGCAGTGACCGTGGGGTTCTTGCAACCTCTCTCCACCCACAAACGGAGGAACGAGTGGAAATTTTCGATACCACTGAGAGGCAGACGCTTCGCATTTTTGACTCCTCAAACAAGGAAAGTCACATAAGTGAGCTCTATATCCTAGCCTATTCGTACAATGGCTGTAATCATCCTCCTACCAATTTTCCCTGGTTCCAAGTTCTATTGTCGGGATGTAATCCAAGAACTTCTATGAATTTAATGATGCCCAAGAACGAACTTTCGCTCAGGGTGCCAGACCAACTTGCCAGAGGCCTTGACGATGCCCCGATAGCCCATCGAGACATTGATAGAAGTGTTATTACCCAAACTTGAGGCTGGCTAGTTAACTCCTACACTAAAAGAAGACAACTGGTCCAAGAACTAGAAGATAGAAACTATGCTCTATTAGACCTGCGATCTCTCAGACTTTTGGACGCTTGAGACTCTAGCAAGGCGAAAAGAGCGTTGGCGACTTCTCCTGCTGTGGGTGACATGTGCAACAATCTCAAGTATGAACCGACCCTTAATTGTTGGAGGAGCATCGGGGCCCTGCCCCCTGAATCTAGAAGGACTCACGACAGCTACATCATCAAGTTGAATCAGCTTAAACAAATACTGACCAACAAAAGGAAAGATATACTGTACAAGACTCATGAAGACGATCATTTCTTCGGCACAGCCTGGAGAATCTCAGGGAATACTGGAAATCATTCTGCTGTGCCCGTTCAGAGGTTTACCAAGTCTCTACAATGAAGAAGTCACAAACAATTTCCGTTAGCCGTTAATTGGATTACTCAGAACCTAGGAGGAAACCCATTCTGGATGCTGGTCCCCTGTGCGATGGTGAAGAGTGTGAGGTAGCCTCACAGGCTGAGGCTGGAAGGAGCATATGCACGGGTACAAGGGACTTGGTCTGCAGAGCAGGAATACGGTCACATGAGCATAGGCCTCATGTTTAGCCTCATGTTTCCTCCCTTCCACTTCGAGTAGTTCTGTCTAGTTGACCATCTCTTTGTACTTTCTATGCATCATATACAACTGTTTTACCAAGACTTTGAGCCCGAGAAATCACTACGAATTATCCAAACTACCTATCACCCACTTGCATCTTTTCCCCCCATTCCTTCAAACTTGCAGAGTGCGTATCACTCACAAGAGAGTGGGCAACCAGTACTCAAGGTTACGGAAGGATGACCCCAACGGACGGCTAATTCGTTGGCACCTGAGGAAGAACCTCCTTCATGTCGTAATGAAAGAGGCTTGGTACCATGAGCGTGTGCAACCCGCTGCTCTAAATTCGATCATGGTCTATACAATAAAGATTGCCATTGTTCTTGTTTGCTGCACCACGTCCCTTGATGATCCAGAATGGACTCAACCCCAATCAGAGATCAAGCCCTTTCTGGTAAAGAAAATAGAACTAGCTCGTCTTGTTGTGGTCCCGCATGAATTTAGGCAAGGGCGTAGATTTCGAAGCGAGAAATTCAGCTTGGATGGAGCCCTTCTAAAGGGGACTGCTAAAACCTATATCAGGCATCAGCCTCACACCTCGCACAATCGAGAGGAGGGTTATCAAATCCTGTCTCTCCCACCTCTCAGCTTAAAAGGCCTCAATAGGCGTGTGGTGGATTCAAATGAGTATGAACAACCACAATTTAAACACACGTATAAGAGATCAAGTCAAGAGCGATGTAACCAACCTAGCTCCAGTAACTGTTCTGAGCTTGAAAACGTGGATATAAAGGAGGGGGCTCCCTTTCTCAAACCCAAAGAACTACTAGTACCCTTCTTGAAGTCTCCTCGTCTAAACCCAGGTGACAATCGTGACCATAACGATGATTACTTCCTGGGCACGAGTAATACTGAGGAGCCTGCCAGTAACCACCTTGAGAGAATCTATGCCTTAATTAAGAGCGTGATAGGCAAGCCCGCCGCTCGAGGATCAGAGTGAGAGACTGCTGTCTGCAGCGTGAACGCGAGCGCAAGGGCTCAAGAAACTGAAAGGACCTGATTTGGTCATGCGGTTCTTAGCCCAGCTGCGATAACTTGTATGGCAAGGTTAGATCACAAGATTCCACAGAGAGAAGAAGACTTTACTACTCAAGTTATGAGCCTGCGAACTCCACTCTCTGTACCCTTCAAAGACTCCAGGGATCAAACAGAAGGGATTACTTTGAGTCCCCATGAGTTCACTGCATCGAACTTTATGTTCTATGAAGCGCTTATGCAGATGAAAGGATTCGCCTTCAACCAGACTATAAAAGTGTTAGCAATTTCCCTCCGGTTGGCCATCAAACGAATCTCCAGAGTGACTCATGTTGGACAAGGCCAAGGTTACTGCCAATGGCCAATGATAACAATCACAAGTCAAGCGTGGCAACCGAGAATCTGCCGAAACCATCTGAAGAAGGAAATCTGGATAGAACTACAAGAACTTTTCATCAATTATGGAGACTTCATGGATGCCCCCCTACGATTTAGGAAAATAGGGTGCGGTTCCGTTGATGGGGAAAGTGGCCAGGAATGATCCCTTTCACATGGACATCATCAATTTTCTTCGCAGGAGCGTTATCTATGTGATCAAGGTTCACCACATCGGCTCAGCCTTCAGGCTTCAGTTCAACACATGAATCCCCAAAGACAGTCCTTTTCATTGTACTGCGAAAAACATTCATCCCTTTGTTGCTCCAAATTGACAACTGTTCTTCTTCTTCATCAAATATTTCACCCTTTGTCACCTAGTTGAATCTCCAAGACGACTCAAGTTCCACTCTGATCATTAATCTCCCTTGCCCCGATTAACTCGGAATTGTTATTTACATCCCTGCAGCCTCACAGCGCAAAGATTATCCCTACATGGTCCCTATTGGAAAATACACTAAACACTATCTGGTCCCACAGTGCTCCATCATCATTACTAAGGCTCATGGCTGCTATTGAGCCTACAATAACCGCAAATAATCATTATCCATATATTTCCGATGGAATTAGATCCCAGCCTGGATCACCGCTCATCGCCAGTTCACGGTCACCCCCCCAACTTCTAGTCAGGACTTTACGACGATATGACAAGCTGACAATGCTGTGAATGTGATTTAGAGTATCACCCATACAATGAAGTCAAGATCATACGAACATTAAGAAATACCCCTACCTATGGACGATGCTCCAATCTCACGGGGGGGCTTTGTAACGGCATGCTAGTGTATGCTACTGCCCTTTTTGTGTCACCTAGGATCGTTGTATTTACCTATGTTTATTCTGCATTATGTAGTGCCTCGTACATAACAATAAACCGCTTTGCAACCACATCATATAATACATGTGGACGGAGTCACCCCAGTTCTATACGGCTAGGCAGCCATACGCCTCCCCTCTGGGATACCAGAGTCCTGTGCCGGGTGACCGTGCCCCAGTTCCTGGGTCACAGGATAAACTACACGTGGTACCACTTTGCCGCACCATGTTACGAACTCTATCATGCGTACCACGAATATTCTCCACCACCATCTTGCACTCACGCCTTTGTTGAGAAGTCCCGATCGACCCTCCGGTTTCACAGGACCATTGCCTTTCCTGTTACTGGAGCAAGGCAAGGTTGGAGGCTAAGTTATAGTTTTTTTGGGTTCTTTGAATTTTCTGTCTGCATTGGATTTGAAGTTGACTTGGAGCACCTGTGTGATGGCAAAACCTTTTGTTGAAACATTAAAGTGAGGTGAACATACTTAGTCCCTCCACATACCATTCCCCTCAAGCTAAAATTCCGGACTTCTTTATTATCAGCTCATTGGATGTCTCAAAAGCTTTTATCAGTGTCAGCCTCATTTTCGCGATGCCGAAAAAAAAGAAGAAAAAAAGAAAACAGATCATGAGCCCATGGTCAACGTCACATCCATCATTTATCCTCTGCTCTGCAGAGCACAGGTATGAGCCAAAACAACACCCTGATCATGATTCACTCCCATCCCAACAAGCCTCAGCATTGATGATATATCATGAACCTATTGTTTTCTATGACGAAAAATTCTGCCCCCTGTAATCATAGGGTATCTATCTCAGTCCTACCACTCTGTCATTTGTTCTTACCCCTCATTTTCAGTATGCATG